AATAAAATATCATTGCTGTATGTATGAAAAATAAACTTACAATAACTGCAATAATATAACGACTGAGTGACATTCTAGAATTTTTGTGAAATCTTGCTTTTCATACCAAAATTTATAAGGATATATATTATCGATAGTCTGTTTTGCGCCTATGTCTATATGGTACTTGTAATTTAATATTTCTTCTTGGTTATTATTTGCTGTCACATTTCATAAGCTTATAAAAAAATTGGTTTAACCATAATATTTATTTAAAATTAATGCATAATTCTAATGGGATTAAAATTCTTTAAGGTCCTACTGAAATTACATGCCAACTTTGCAATATTTTAGCAAAAAAATACTGTTTTTACATACCATATAACAGTTTGTTATAATATAATTCAATATATAATATAGTTTCAGCAACCTTTTTCTAAGACACTTCATTACAATACTTTGTTCTAATCGGTTCATGTCTGAAATAAATGAGCGAATGAAATCATCAAAGCCTCCACCGAATAGAACAAATTCCAGGACAAAATGATTTCGTAAACGCTTTATGATGTCGAACAACATGTTTCTCTAATTGCATATAATTTTCCAGAAAATATTAATAGAATCCAGGAAAACAGCGAAAACAGTTCCTATTCTTTAAGGTTAAGAGCTGACTGCTTCTGGCCATGCCCTGTAATAAAAGTTGATCCGTCTTTTATATTCCATTTTTTCGTAAAAGGCTCATATTTCCGGAATTAATAACCCTATATCACGAAATTTATCGAATTATTTGCATTTTCCGTGAATGGATGGATCCTTGAAAGGCTCATTTTTACGGAGTTTTTACAGAAATAACGGATAAAATTTTTTATAAGGATAATAAATCCCATTATGGTACGATTGTACGAAAAAATTTGAGGTTTGGCATTTAACGTCTAAATATAAGTCAAACTTGCATCGTTTTTTTCTTTTATAGAATATTTAATGGCAATCATAGTTCCCGGATACATCAGGAAATTTTTTTAGGGATAAATATCGATAATTATCACTTCATCGATAATTATCACATTTTACCGCACCAAATAAATCGATGATTAATGATTATCGATGTCGCAACGATACCTTTCTTTTTTATTAGAAACCAACGCTTCTTTCTTCATTTTTTTTTAAGTTTCATGATTTTTTGTCTGGGTCTCTGGGATACTGGATGCGGTAATATTGGTAATATTGTAATTTACAAAATTTTATAGTTTATTTGATATTCTTTTTTGTAGGTTTTTGATATCGGGTTCGAAATACTAGATAAGTGCGTGGAGCAGTAAGTTTCTTTACGAAACTTACCATATATTTTGTTTTTAATTTTTTTATAGGTCTTTCGGGTATCGATATCACCTCTAAACCGATGGTCGGGATTCTTTAAATATGGATCTGTGAGTATATTAAGTTTTTTCATATTTTTAACAAAATATTAACTTACGTTCAATTTTTCTTTTGCAAACGGATTTTAAATGGCTATTTGGATTTCAAGTACTGTAAGCGAAAATGGAGAAGACTCTATTATTTGTCCATCGGAGTAGATTAAATTTGTTGGAATTATAATTTAATGTAATAAAAAACTTATTATTATATGATTATAATTGATGTATTTATTAATATATTTGTATCGTATAATAATAATAGTAAATAAAAATAAATTCATTGATTATTTTTCTATGTTACATCATTCTGGATTTTATCAGATATCGATATTCATTATTAAGTTTAATTTTCTTTTATTCAATGAAACGTTAAATAACGTTTTAATTTTTTTCTTTTTTTTTTAGACGGGCGGGCTTTTTCTTTTTTAGGTTCTTCCGGATTTCCTTGACACACGGAATTTTGGTAAGTTGAATTTTTTTATTTTTTTTTTATTTTAGTGAAACGTTAATGATTCCGATAATTTTATCTAGTTTATCACACTCGACGATGTCAAATCTTTTTAAACAAATGCTTTGCTAAATTAAAATAATTTTATATATAAAATTAACATTGTTAAATTTAATTTGTATGTATTTGCATTAATAAATTCATTATTGTAACATTAAAATTTTTAACTCATTGTCATTATTATAAAAAATCCTTAATTAATATTTTTATTATATAACTTGACATAGTTTAGTTAACAGCGTACCCCAACTCGACGAGTCCGATTAGCATCGATGTATAACATGTGACCTTTACATCGATATATATTCCCTAAAAAAATTTCTCGATGTGATTAACCGATGGCATTTAATGTTTACCGTAATAAGTGAGCATTGGATAAATTTCATTAGTCCGTATTGCTGTCATTTGTATTTCGAAGTTCTTTTCTATTATTTTACTATCATTCTTCTGCAATTGAGCAATTGATAGTTATTAAAGCAAGTTTCTAAAACTTAAAATAGGGCTCATCTTGATGCAAATTGCAATAAATTACCGTTTAAATCGGTTAAATACTATAATGCCATTCATTTATTATATTGTATATATGTTGTGCCTCAGATGACGATTTGCGTCTGGTGATAACTGACGCGCGTCAGATGTCAATTTTAAATAGTTTGCTATAAGTAAACTTCTTTTTTCATTAATTAATTCGACTCTAGTTGTATAAGTAAACTTGTGTATCATAATGAGTTATACCTGAAAATTTTATTAAATAAATATAATTAATATCATACTTGGTTATATATTGCAAATAATGTTTAAAAATTTAGCTATGATTAAACTTTAAATATTTCTTAATATACTTTATTAATTTATTCTTCATGCCTGTAAATATATAATCCTAAAATTTTAACACAGTTGGATAATAGAGGTGCAAACTTTACCGACGTAACTGCCGTGACAAAGTTACGTCAATTTCGTCACCACAGAGAAATTTTATAATAATTTATATAATATCGAGCTACGTCGCGAGTTACAACCTTTCATTGACTTAATGAGTGACGTAGCTAAAAAAAGAAAAAGTCTGCACCCCTAGTTGGATTCATATTTATGGAAATCACCTACTTTAAAAAAATACAGTTGACATCGTCGCCAATCGTCATCTGAGGCACAACATATACGTAAATATGATTATAAATGGATGTCTTATTCAATAATAGGAAGAAATTACTAAATAATAATGAAAGATTTACGTAAATACAATGCAAAAAATCAAAAATCAAATATGTGTTTATCTTATTGGTCTAATATTTTTTATAAATATTAATTATTATAATTGCTAATATCGGCAAATGCATCGAAATATCAACGAACAAAAATTTCTATCGAATATCGATTTTCATCAAGATATATTATAAACGAAGAAATATAAATAAACGAAAGAACATGTAGTACGTCATAAATCTAGTAAATAATGAGAATTGTTATTGATAAAGAATCACTCGGTTAATCTCACCGCGAGTTACAATGATCCAAGATCGAATGATAACGTTCAATTTTGCCATATTTCAGGGTAATCTGTCGCAAAAAATAGTTTAATACGCTATATTTCATAGCGTTATATACATTATATGTTATGAAGGGTACCCGTCATAAGAAACGGCGGTACATGCTACAATATTAATTACAGCAGGTATTCGCTAATGCCTATTATGGAAAAACAAGTCCCTAATAATTAAATTATCTGAAAAAAATTTAAAAAGATTCGGCCAAAATTAATTATAATATCTTCCATATAAGTTAAAAAAAAATTAGAGGACCGACCGCTGAAAAAAGTAGCGGGTACCTGCCGTTTACTTTGGCAGGTATCCGTTGTTTACTATGGCAGGTACCTGCGGCGGGTCAACCCTGTAATTAACGTGTTGAACCGTTCAGTACAAGGGTAACCAGGGTAACCCAGGAACCCTAGGAGGAGAGAATGCGTGGATAGGAAAAAATAATCACGTAAATCTTTCCTTTTTTGGACAATTTTGGGTAATGTTGGCCAGAATTTTATTTCCTGTTTTAGTAACTGACTGACACTATCATAATTCCGGCCCTGAAAAAATGCGTACAGCCAATAGTAAATTTTTTTTGGTTGGACCTTACCTATTTTAATATTTTTCGGGGTCCTGGTAACCCGCCGTAATAATAGCAGGTAACCCGCCGCTATTAACAGCGTCTACCCGCTGTAAGGTATGGCAGACTATTGACCAGAGCGGCTTGCCATACGAATGCCCTATAAAAAAAGAATGTCCGGAAATTGTAGCTGAAAACGTCCGGAAAATGTTTATTTGTCTGGAATATGTCCGGAATATTGCAATATTCCGGACGTTGGAAAATTTCCATTTTCCGGAAAATGTCCAGAAAACGTCTAGGAGGGTTCAGACCCGGCGTCCAGAAAGTGTCCGGAATATTGCAATTTTCTGGACGTTTTCCGGACACACGGACATTTTCCGGATGTTTTTAGCTACAATTTCCGGACATTTTTTTTTTACAGGGATGTAATATGATTTTGTGCATCTACAACCTTCTCGCTCCACATTTTTTTATTTGTTATAATTAAATCTGGTTGAAATACATGCTATCGTATAAATTGGATCTTATAAATACGAAATCAATAGATTTTGCATGATTTAAAATTATTACTATAAACTGTTTTATGACATAAAAATATAACGTTAAAAATCATTTAATGCTCAATTTAAATTACTATAGTAGATATTCTTGATATGTTTATTAGATGATGCTTAGTACTGTATAAAGTTACTATTTGAGCTCAAGAATATACACGTAAACAACAATAAATAATCAACTTAGTTGGTTTTGTTGTAATATATATTATCTAATATAAAACTATTTCTATTATTAAATTTTAATCAGATCCACTACTTAAATTGTTTAAATCTCCAATTCACGTGGAAAGCAGTAATTCTGAACTACCCCAAGAGCACCCCAAAAAATTCTGCGTAAATCATGTGATCATCACATATCACATGATTGAGATTAAAGAGTTACGTAATTTACATAAATAATAATTAATTAAACTTTTATTAAAGTTTCGCTTTTCCACTTTCAATATGGATATTGTAACTACTGGTAATTTACAAAAAATGTAAAAAATGTCAAAAAAATTTACCTCTAGAAGCTTTCATTAATGAAAATACTCAGCAAATTAAAACTTGTAATATATGTCGTCATAAAGCTACTTTGCAATATAAACAATCTAATCAATCTAACACAGAGGAAATGTCAAAACAACTATTTGAAAGAATTTTAGAAATCAACAATAATGAATATTTAGAAAATGATTTAACTAGTAGAGTAGATTTTAATTGCAATGTTTCAAAAATTTATTCAACCACGTCTTGATTTGGTAATTTATATTCTTCTTACTCGTTTAATTCCACATCATCAACAACAATATAATAAATATTTATGTGGTTGGGAAAAGCTTTCATGGTGAAAAGATTTGGAATAATTTGCAAAAAAAGAAATTAATAATAAGTATGAAAGACAGATTACAAATCCACGCACTTGGAAAGGTCATAATAAACAGAAGTGATTTATTTTGTAGATAGGCAGTAAATTAATAAATTTATGTAATAGAGTAATAAATTTTTTCTTTAAAAGTTTCATAATAAAATACTTTAATTTTTTTGAATATCAGAATTTTTTTTATATAAATTACATAATTCTTTAATCTCAATCATGTGATATGTGATGATCACATGATTTACGCAGAATTTTTTGGGGTGCTCTTGGGGTAGTTGTAATTCTGGCAGACTACAATGGCCTACCTTTTACGGTATTACCAATTTACAACGTCGTACGAAGTCCCGATAATAAATAGTAATTATTAAATAATAAACATTCACACATTACAAAATACGCGCGCGTGATCACATATTGATCGCGGAAATCATTTTTCCAACGCTATTTGTTAATGACGTTCTTTAAAAATCGGTAGAATATGGTATCAACCGATCCATTTAGCAAAATTATTTAGTATAAACATATTTCAAAAAAAAATAGCTAGGTATAAGAAGTGATGAGTACTTCAATTATTTAAGCAAATATAAAATGCATCTATTAGCTCTCGTTCGACCAAAAATACTAAGACATTTGAAAAATCGCAGATGCATGTTGTCGTCTTAGCGAGAAATTTCCTTCTACAATTCAAAAAAAACCGTTTCGTTTTTTGCTTACACTACATTATAGATAAACGTTCAGTTTGAATACACAGATGTGTAATATTTAATATCTAGATCTACCGGTTATACTACATAGAATTAAAATAGAAAAAAACTTAACTGTTTGATACATGTAGTTGTTTAAAATGTACGAGATTCAACTTATCATATGATTCATGCAAAAAAAACTGGCGTTTATTCATTATAAATTCATATATGCGCAGAATACATATACTATACACATATAAGTCTTGTGCGCACCTAATGCAGCCCATAAAATAAATCAGCCGAATATATTACATATACATTGAAATAGAGAGAAAATTGAGGTATTGTGCTTTGCAGTTTATTGTGAATAAGATATTTACTATCGAATAGTAGTATGTGTTATTTCGTAAGAAATACATAGTAATTCAGGGTAGGTAAATTTTACTCAATTGAAATTACTGTTAAATATTACTTTACCTCGTTAATATATTTTATTTTTGCTCGTTAATATATTTTATTTTTGAAATTTCAATACATAATTTTCATGTGAATATCATCACTTATTAGTCAATTTTGAAAACGGTAAGTTTTTTATGTATTCATTAGTTATTATCGCCATTTCAAAATGACATAGTCTGGCATATCTAAATGAAAAAAAGAATACCAGATTACCAGACGATTGCAGGACGGTTGCAGGACGGTTGCAGAATATTAATAACTTAAGAGAACGGCGATAATGGTTATTTGAGAACGGTTTCTTTATCACGTGCCGGTGAGAAAAATTACTGTTAACTTTCACATGTTACATGTTTGAATGCATTACATATTGCATATCCATCATAAATTTCACGCCTTTTCTTCAAAAATAACTATTAATTTATTAAATATTTACATCTAGATAGAGCTGTGGAATATTACATGAGAATAAAGGTTACTAAACTAATGAAGAGGCTTATTTATCTTGAAGGGGATATTATTTTGAAGGGATTATGAGCAACTATCGATTAAATATTGTAAATACGAAAGTTTAGATAATTATAATAACACTAAATATCTACGAAAACATTTAAGGATTAATAATCAATATTGCTCTGGCTACGTTTAGACGACTATTTTCGTAGCCAGCTTTTCTGTATTCTTTAACTGTTTTTAATTGCCGTTATTCCATTTACGGAGTTTAAAGCAGAATGATTTTTTGTTTAAAATCAAATTCTTGATTTCCGCCGAAATTTTAGCGGTTTCATCTTGAAGAGTTTTATATTTAATAAATAATATTAGAGGATTTTTGGAGTTATGCCAGATAAGATTATAGAGATATATCATAGTTAATTTGTTTGTATAATTTAATAATATTTGTGTGAATAGTATGAATATGGATTTTTTTTTTTATTAAAAATAAAAAGTAGATAGATGGGTAGATAAAAACACACCGATATTTATATTGTTTTTCTCTCTCTTGAATCGAAATAAATTGTTTCGTTAAACTAAATAACGTATCTTTACAAAATTATTCTAACTTATTTTATCTATCAGTGTGAATATGTGATATTACTAATATAAGTCAATAATTCAACTCCCCCACGGCCCTACCCCATTAAATCATAACCCGCTTCTCCACAAAATCGGTGAAAAAATTTCGAATTTTTTCGTAACAATTAAGATTCTGGGGTTTTAAATCCATCGCTGATAACAGATTCGGTTTTGGTGGCTTTATGCACAGTTCAGCCAGAAACCGTTTTATGGGAAATTAAAATCGTAACTTTAATTTTGCTTGTACTACGTGCACATACATTACAAAATACTCTTAAATAATTGTATATCGGATTATCCTAAATAAATAAATATTTATAATAGATTTTCAAAATAATTTTTAAGGTTTAAAAGTCTTTGTTCTAAAATTGAAGGGGATCCTTCTTTTTTTCAACTGTCAATATGTCATTGAATTTCTTTGTTTTCATTTTTTCCTATTTATTTGGATTAGCTAAATGTTGTTATAAATCATATTACAGTTATGCGGCTAATTATTAAAAGATATTGTGTCAAAAAAAAAAAATAAAATAAAATAAAATAAATATAAAAAAAAATTCTTTTCAGAATAAAGAATCCGTAGTAACTTCCAATGATAGATTAAAAATTCTTTTTTAAAATTCTTTCAAAGTTTTCCATTGTGTTAACACGCACTTGGCGTAATATTTTCATAAATTATAGTTTATACAGTAAAATGGGAACCATAAATTATAATTTATACAGTAAAATAGGAACATCGTAAAGTAGTTTTAAAACAATTTATCTGTAAATATCTTTTATATCTTTAACCTCTCTTTTAACTACAAGTAATTAATCGCCTGTTAATAAATAAATTCCACTTGCTCGCATTAAGACCATTTTGGTTGGCATTATAGAAAAATTTGGCCACCTGATTTTTGTCAATCAACCCTCCTTTTAATTGCTTTTAATGTATAAATTGCTTAAACATATTTAAAAGATTATCTAAATCTTATTATATTTTTATATTATATATGCTGTATGATACAAAATTGCATGTTTTTTACAAAATTTTTGATCATTACATGATGTTGGTACTCCGCCGGCTTAACCGGTTAAAACCGGTTAGTCGGAGTATTTAACGCTAATTAGTCGGTTAATTTGTGATGAAGTTAACCGGATAATTAACCGGTTAACAAATACTAAGTCTTGTGTTTAACGCGTTTGGAAACCTTTTTTTGCGTTTGATGTATAAGCTAAAATATTTTCTTCAATATAATGAAAATTTTAAAATTTTTATTAAAAAAAAAAAATTTTATGGCGTCAAAAAATTGTTCTGTTGGCGTTTTTAAATTGGCCAGTCGGCTTATCTAAATTTAGATTAACCGGTCCTTAACCGGTTAGCCTTAACAGTTCCAAATTCCAACCTTTAGAATTGATATCACGTTTCTGTTAGTTGCATTTCTTTTTATCAAAAACGATGTAACAAACAGATATATAAAATTAATATATTGATTAATCCAACTACAGATATTGTCAATGCGATTTTTCAAAATAAATAAATATTTGGGCAATAAGTCACAATAGAATGACGACATTCAACGTCAAACCGTTTAAAAAGAATTCTACTAGGGGAAATATTTATTTTCTTGTTAATGAGAAATAAAAACATACTAGTTTAGTTCAATGATTACATGCGTTCTTTATTGTATTATTTGCTTTTGTAATGTACTACATTACATCATTTGAATAATACCAGTGTTGAACCCTTTATTAAGTGACAACGGGTACAGTAATTTCATTATAAGAACTTCTTTCTGCACCCAAGATGCATGTCTCCGCATATCTCCTGCGTTAGAATTATAGAATTTTCCTTAACCAATTTTAATAAATTAATTAACCTTATTATTAATAACAGTAAATTTAAATAATTTATTACTAATGAAAAAAAAAATTCTAGGGCTGTGGAGGCTTTTTCCAAACAATAATAATGACGGATTCTTTTCAATAAAAATGGCACATTGTTCTTTATGACTAGCCTAATATTTGCGTTATGAAACCAGGAGAGATGTAAACAATTATGTCGTGTTTTTAATAATAAGCGATCTTCGTTTAAAATAATTATAATGTAACCGGCATATATTTTATCAAGTTTTTCGGAATTTATCCGTTATTTTTAGTAATAGGTAATGACATGACATTAATTTGAATTAAAAAAAAAATATCTTTTATTTATCACAAAATTATTTGCACTACGGTTCAAAAAAATTTTAATTTTTTGAAATATGAGTATTTAATTATTATATAATAAAAAATAGTCGTCAGTGTCTCGGAACATCTAATAATTCTATTATTATTTGTAGATAAATAAAATTAATAAAAAAATTTCTTTTTGATCTTCAATTGAGCTTATTATTTATCCAAATATATTATTTTATGCAACACGCCGTTAAAACGCATTTGAAAGAAGCTTTTTTCATCAGACTTCATGACCTAATACAATAATGGCTTGGATTAAAATAAAGATTATCCTATCGTCAAATAACTCAAGCAATTATTCAAATCAAATAGCCAATCCGAGAAGTATAAACTAGTTTTTTATAATTATCAGAGAACATTTTATTTTATTAATAAATAATCGGTTAATATAAATTATTTATTATTTTTTATTTTAATCAAAAATTCTTTATGGCAATAAAAATATTTCGGAAAATACTTATTTTGAATAAGTTATTATCGTTTCTAGCTAGATTTGTAATTCCAATATTTTGATGAAAGTTTAGAACCAAAACCGGTTTCGGATACTTATCGGAATTGTTTATGATCGAAAGTAGTACTAATACATAAGACAAATCTAAATCTCTTGAAATATAAATTAAAGGTTAATCCTAGATATTGGACCAATAAGTGGAAGATTGCTCATCAAGCCGAACTTAAATGACCACTTTTTCCAGATATACGGATTATGAAACCAAATCTCTATTACATAATATTTTTTTTTTATTAACGAATAAACATATAGGCTAATAAATTGTATTTTATTTGCCTTCATAGTAAAAAATTTAACTGGTTCAAGCGTACTAAGCAATAATTTTTATATTAGGTAGTAAACCTGTTTGTACCGAAACCTCGTTATACCGAATCATAATTTCCAGAACCGCTATGTAACGCATCCGAACCGAACTTAACCAGCCCCTATATATCAGTTATATAATAACTTTATACTTTCTATAACGAACGGTCATGTGACTATATAGTAGTCCAGGCCAATTTTATAGTGCTGGCCAGAATTACCAGTAGTTTTTTTCGAAAATTTATGTTAAACGAAATTATAATTTTGGCCAGTATTACAAATTTGGCCTAAATTACCTAGCTATAAAGAAAACTAGTTCGGTAAATTATATAACGAATTCACTATATACCGAACTAAACCTCCTGGTCGTTATATCCAGAGTTGACTGTACTTCACGATAAAACTTCAACAATAATTTCAGCGCATTATCCACGTTTTTGTGTGATTTAGATTTGTTGTGAATTCATTATTTTGCGTCCGAATATTTCCAAAGATATTACCTTATAAGCCGCCGAATATTTCAATTAAAAGCTAAAGTTAACGTGAGTTTCAACTAGTAAATGAAGACTTATTAATAGAATCTTTCAAGTTACCTTTATTCATACATATTCACCAAATTTAAATTGAATAAATGTACACACAGTGTATATGATACATATGCGAAAATAATAGGTTACGGTCTTCAATTTCCGCAAATAACATTAGTTTATCATCGGAATCTTAATAGTATAAAATGACCGACATCAGTACTATAAAATCAATAGCTTAAAAGTCCGATCAAATAAATAAAAAAAAATATCTGAATCGCTATCGCTATTATGTAGGATGTATGCCCTATAAAAAAATTGGATACGTTTTTTATAAAGTTTTCATACGATTTTTTTCCTTAGAAATAACGTATCATAATAGGATACGGAAAAATGCACAATTCCGTATCACTAAAAATATGATTTGATCACTGATTTTATCACGAAATTTATACGATTTGGTCACTGAATTTACTATTTGTATTACAGTTTACTATAATTATATTTACATAAATCTAATTTTACTTAATTAAATTAAATAAAAAATAAAAATAAACAAAATACAAATACATTATGAAAATTCCCTCCTTATTAAAACCACCTATTGCAACCAAAATTATCTATAAGTTCAGGTTCATTTGGAGTCAAACAACCTAAAAAAAACAAAAAAAAGAA